CAGTGCCTGGCACCGACTCTTAAACCACCAGTACTTCCTGAAGTCGTGCCGGTTAGGAAATGTACGAGTCAACTACAGAAGCGACCAGATTCATCCGACTAGAAACGTTTCTAGTCTTTTTTTTTTTTTCATAGCTGGGCCAAGTACTACTGTTAGTACTGTACTGGTGGTTTAATTGTCCGGAATCAATCTCTCGTCTATGGGCCCTACTTTCTCTTTTCCCACCCTTCACTTTGTTTTCAATTTTTCACTTTGTTTCTTGCTCCCTATCATCCCTAGTATGTGTTTTTCTCCTCCTCTTGCTTGCTCTCCTCAGTCATTTCTCCTCTGAGTCCTATCATTCCATCGGACCCGTCGTCCCCATAATTCGTTCGGACCTCTCACAAGAGTCACAACCACAGTACGAAAAGTTGAAAACTTCGACAAGTACGTGGAACGGTGGAGCTGACTGAATGACATTCTTCAGTTTACTCTCGGGAAAGTTGGAAACAATTTTTCCCCTGCAGTGCCTTGGTGTGTGAACAAGTAGGGAGGTACTAGTACTAGGTGCAGGTGGTTGATTGATCATTGATTCATTGATTGTTGGGTGGGTGAACTGCATCTCTATGTACGTACGTTGGGCACTGCACGTGCATGAAATTCCGTGAAGGGCCATAGGTTCGCTTCGCAACAAATTGTGTGTCTGTCTGCTTGGCTATGGCCCATGGGTTGTCTCTACCCTGCTGCTGTTGGGAAGAAGAGGTGTGAGGAGAGTAGAGCTGGAGAAACTCTATTGAGTCGGGATGCAGCTGGCACTGGGAGGGAAGACGTCGAGGACTCGAGGTGTGTGAGGAGAGTAGAGCTGCGAAAATGGAGGTGAAGAGCCAGAGATTCAGAGAAGAAGGATATGAAGAGGAGAGGACCAGTTCTGCAAACCTCGTACTACGAGGATCTTGCGGAAGAGTGCCCTCGCCGCCTTTCCTGCTTGAAATGTAATTCCTGATTACTCTTGCTTGTGCAGTTTGTGCACGACCTTTGGTGCGAGAGCTCGAGCTAGGTGGGGTTGTATTCGTAACGTCAGAAGAAGAGATCTTAGAGGTGCGGATTAAAGGACAAGTCAAATAATAGCTCTGTACGTCAGACGGTAACCATCCTCCGGCTAGCAGCAGGCCCCGTGTCCCGCTCCAGATCATGAACCGAGGTTACTTGCACCCGCTCACCCCCCCCCCCTTCCCCCCCCGCCCCCTTCCCCGCTGTCGACACGAAGGCAGTGAGCTGAGTGAGGGAAATCGACAGAGAAGCCGGAAGGATGAGAGAGAGAGAGAGAGAGAGAGAGAGAGAGAGAGAGAGAGAGAGAGAGAGAGAGAGAGAGAGAGAGAGAGAGAGAGAGAGAG